ACTTAATTTACTGATAAATAAAATGAATTAAGACAATTAAACAATCATTTGTTATTTGTATTTTAACGAAAACCTCTTTTCATGTTTTTTTAAATCAATCTAACTTTTGGACAATGTTCTATTGAAACTCCTGTATGATTGATTATCATTATCCGTAAATAATTATCATTATGGATATTATAGTTTTCCTCTTTTTGTGGGATAAAATCTAAACTTTATACATGTTTCCTATATTTTATTGAATGTTACATAATGATTTAACTTTTATAAAAACATAAAAAAACATGTTCATGTTGTATTTGTAAAGTTAGTGAAGAAAACTCTCTAGATTCGGATGATGATGATGATGATGTTATATTATCAAGATATCATTCTTCTACTATGGAATCAAAAAACTTTGAATTGCTAGGAGTGTTATGTATATGTAACGTAATGATACCGCCAAGTAGAGAACAGTGATTTATCGACCGAGTCAATAACGCATAAACCCGTAAGAGCAATGTAGTGTAATTATCGGCCCTGCTTCCTGCCTATCCCTGCCAATTTAGTCCAGAACAACAATCTCATCCTCTGAGATATGAATCATATATTACAAAAATGCTGTGCCTATATACAAACCAAACAAACCACATAGTACTATAAAATAGATAATAATATTTGTACAAGATCTAGCCAAAAGTGGCTGTGAATGTGCGAGACTGTAATTAATAGACTGGATATTGCTCAAGAACAGTAAATCGTGTAATACATAGTTTATATATCAAAATAAAGCTTGTCATAAGAGGAGTACAGATATACACAATCTAGCTACTGAATAAATAATAATACAATTGTCATAGTTTTACGCATTATGCAAAACCACACTCCTTCGATTTGTCATTGTTTGTTGATAAACAGAACTATAGTAGGGTAAATAATGTCGAAATCAACCTACCTCAGTTTCAATAAGAAGAAATTTGAAGTTCCTAGTTAATTTTGGAACAAGGAAATATATTCATTCTGAACAAGTTATTATATTCATTTGTTAACTATGGTTGTTTTTTTTAGTTGCCTACAAAGTGAGTAAATATATATTAGAGGGTTTTACTAATATTTAGCTATCAAGAATATAAAGTACTGGTTTCCAATTGGAACTGAATAGTTAAATGATTTTATTCAGTTTGTGGAGATCATTAAGTTTTTTTGATTGAGATCATGAACCGACTGATGTTAGACTACCATTGAAAACCTGGAAGCACTGGACCACCGTTTAAGTTTGATGGATTATTGGGATTATGGAAGTGTTTCAACATGTATATATATACAAGCAATGGATATAACTGGAACATGGAATAACATTAAACATTTACATATAGACTTTCATAAGAAATAGTATTGTGAAATTAAATTAATAGGTTTTGAAATATGATTAATTTATGATCGAAACTATGTGTAACAATTTAATTATATTAAACATAGAGGAGATAGTCAAGGTTTTATTGTATTAAAACCACATCTTTCAAGTTCTTAACTACCCGATACAAAAATGATTGATACTGAACATTTAAATGGAATCTAATATTATGGTTATTAAAAATGTACCAGTTTCAAGCGATATACTTAAACAGTCAAAATCATAAAACTAGTCTTACTAATTCATTTTAGGAACAGATTTCATTATTTGTTAACTAATGACTGACTTCAAGGTGGATTTCGGAAGTAGATTTATGAGCGATCATGTTAAAGCATGTCATGATTTTCTAAAGTACTTTATTCCTTCTGTATTAGACCATCAAGGGTGATGAAATAATTAAAGTAGAAAATGTATGGACTAACCGAAACATTCGGTTTCATCACAAACTATTATGATGTAGCTGTTATGTACATGTAAATGAATTAATAATGGAGATGTTATAGATAAAACGTTTTCTACTGTACAATGATAATAAGAAACTAAAATTTATTCAATGACATCATTATCAGTGGAAAGAATAAAGAAAAACATAATAGTAAACATAATTTTTTGTTATGTCCCAATGAGTAGAAAACTTGTATTTCTGATGTTTCGTGACTTAATGTAAACCACTTCTTCAGAGTAAGTAAATAACCGAAGTAAATTAAATTGTATTATATTCTCTAAATAAGTGGCTTACATTAGGTCAAGTAACATCAAAAATAATAGTTTTTCTACTCATTAAGATGTAATAAACATATATTTATTTCAAACATATAGTTCCCTTTATTATCTTAAATAGAGCAAAAACAAATATTGATGCAGAATAATATGAATTTATTTTATTTCGTCAGGTTCTCATCAACTGATTATAACTTATACATAAGAGTTAATTCTTTCGGAATCTTCTCTACATCATGATACATATATTCATTCAAAACCACCCACTTATGTATAAGTTGTAAGCAGCTGATGAGAACCTAAAAATATAAAATGAATTCATATTATCCTGAACTAATCTTTGTTCTTAATTTCTTTAATATATTTATTATTCACTTTCTATCTAATTCTCAATTGATTTGAATCCATCAGGTTCAACCTTGACATTATAGTAGTCTTGAGTGTTGTTAGCGGTATGAGGGCGGTTATCACTTACCGGTGGCCCACACTGTGGAAGGGTTCTTCTGGAGGTACCTGAAAAGGAAATTGGACTAGAGGTGGTCTTAGTGACCTGAGAGCATGACCCCAGTGTCCAAGGGGCAACTGCTTGAGGTCTGTCACACACAACCTTCTTATAGGTAATTTTCATGTCAGCTCCGTACTTGTTGAGACCTTACCGCCGGAGACGGATATCTGTGGGATAAGACGATGTGTGCACTTTTAGAGTCCACCTTTTATAGCCTCACCTCTCCTCGTGGAAAGGCAGCATCGCTGTCATGCTGGTTGTCTGAAGGAAACACCTTACTGCCGTCACACCTCTGTACAATTAGAAGTACGACTTTTCCCTCGGATTTTAGGTTTGTTGCTTTTCGCCTTAACACTCTTCAACCAACCTGCCTGACATGTTAGAACTTTGAGGAACGGTTGTTCCAGCCAGTATAGCTCGGTTGCTTCATCACGATAGGCAATCCCAAGCACCACATCAAGGTAGCAGTAACGGTCGGGACCTTGACATTGATACCTATAGAGAAAAACTTAGTTGTTTCAATTTCATCAGTAAACTATTTCTAGTACAATGTTTCAGGAATTAAAAGACTAATTTATTCAACAGACTGTGGTTTCCGAATCATTTTTTAAATTACACTCAGTAAACTAAGTTATTAAGTAGTTGGATAACCAAGTTTCTTTATAAAAGTTTCTTTGATCTATAAGATTAATCTGAATTCAAAAATCATAAATGTTCATTAGTTAATTTAACTATACAGAATTTGAAAAAAGAAGACGATGTTAATAAAGTAATGAAACAGAGAACAAAAGCACTTCATAATTTTAACCAGTCTACAACTTACACCTAAACAACAATCCTTATATATATATATATATGTATATATATATATATATATATATATATATATATATATATATATATATATATATATATTGTTTTAATGAAAGAATTTTATACACACATAGTTTGCTTTATCATTTTGAAGAAAGTATCTTTGTTCATGCTCACTTGAAAGGACTTTAATGGATTATAATTCAAACTCTTATTGTTCAACTAATTATGAATTCATGCAAATCTTAACATATAATGACACTAGATAATATTTGCTTTTTGTTTTTGAATAATATAAAAATGATCTTGTGCGCGTTTTTCTCATAATTGTTTTCAGCATAATCAATAAATTCACTTATTGGTTTACTTGATTTACTTTTATCTTCCTATTGTTATTTTGGACTGTAATTAATCAGTCTATTATTGGCATATATGCATACTATGAGTATTGCCTTAATTCACAAGCATTATAAGCTTGAATATATGGTGGCTAGTAGTGAAATTCAGGACGCGCGGCTCGTCCTATTAGGGACTTGTTAGCTGGATGTACCTGAATCTCAGAGTTAATGTTCACTCTAGAAGCCGAATATAGTACCATTCACTTCAAACGTTATCGCGTTATTTAGTTAGCTACTGAGTCCTGATATCTACTTGCTTGTGAAATGGGGTGAATTTAAATTCACTTAGTATTGTTTTGCATGTATCTTCCTATTGTAGTTCAGTTAACTGAAACTAAGACCGTAGTAAACAGTTAAGAAGAAATATATGATATAATATGCTCTCTAGAAAAGGACAAACACTTCAATCACTGTTAAATATTAGATAAGAAAGTAAAGATAATCACAATTTAGTATCTGTAAACAACGAAACGGGTTATTATAATTATTGTCAATGGGTATTCTTTAAATCCGTCCACAAGTAAAATAGAAGTGTTACTAGGTTTACTGAAAAAGAGGAATTTCCTGTTAAGATACTTTTCGGTTCACTTAAATCACAACTACTGAACAGTTCATGTTAAATGAATGAGCTTTGGTTCTGCCTCCTAGTTTGGTGAATGCTACTCACAAGGATGTATGTAAGTAGTATGTAGCTTAACGTGGTATCAAAATTGCCATAATTCTTAACACTTTCAGCGCATTAAAAGCACGGCATTGGTAGAACACTTGAAGGACAGGGGGAAACACAGTTCAATTTGTAGAAAATATCAAATAAGTAAATGGTTGATTGAGGGCTATGTACATGTATTACGTGCATACTTGTAACTTCACGTAATAAAAACATTCTTCTTTGGTGGAGATTTATAGCTCAGGTGGATGATTTTGATGGAGTTTTGTTCTCTGAGAACAAAATCCCATCAAAAACATTCTTCCTACTTACAGTCGTTTTTTACACTACTTTCCCACAATACATCTACTATTTTAATATTTAAATCACGTTCATAAGGAAGTCATGATTGACAACTCTAAGCATGAAAATGATATAAAAAATAAAAGTTTAAGGAAGCAGTCACACACGAATCGAAAAACGTGTAAATTTTCTTTTAAATAAATTAATTAAAACGATTTATGCTTAAAATGTTATGAAGCTGAAATTAGATATGATGAACAAAATGTGAAGAGCTAAATAATTTCTACTCTCGTTTGCGTAGCAACTTGTAGTAGTAGTAGTAGTAGTAGTAGTAGTAGTAGTAGTAGTAGTAGTAGTAGTAGTAGTAGTAGTAGTAGTAGTAGTAGTAGTAGTAGTAGTAGTAGTAGTAGTAGTAGTAGTAGTAGTAGTAGTAGTAGTAGTAGTAGTAGTAGTAGTAGTAGTAGTAGTAGTAGTAGTAGTAGTAGTAGTAGTAGTAGTAGTAGTAGTAGTAGTAGTAGTAGTAGTAGTAGTAGTAGTAGTAGTAGTAGTAGTAGTAGTAGTAGTAGTAGTAGTAGTAGTAGAACTAACATTATCATGTATTTACACATATATTCACAGCATCCTTCAGTGGTATTTCAGCTTGAAACATTTTATTAAAAAAGGTAGCTATATAGAAAGTTAATGTGGCCGGAAACTAACCGATCCGAAACATATAAATAATTATGTATTAAATGCATGTGGGTTGTCAAGTTTAACCAACTAACAAAAGCGTAAACATAAATATGGGACAAATTGATAAGCCTTATCAATCAGCCTATAAAGTTTACTTGAGTTATAAACTCAAAGTACATGTAAACAAAATGTTTACGATCATACAAGTACACTGTTGAGCAGAGAAAGTATAAACAAATGTACCACAAATAAATGTTTTAGTGTTTACAATAAACGTTTCCTACATGAAATATGTGGCGAACATATTGAAGTTGTTTAATAATATATTTTCTGTATTAGAAATATTTTTGTTTTTCATGCTTCTTTAGCTTCATTTCCATCTTGGTAACCATCAGGGAAATGTCAACTTCTCTCCTAGTTCTCATATCTATTTACCTGAATATTTTAATGATACAAATATGATCGAATTGGTTCTTAGTAGTGTGATCCGATGAGACCCATGTTGATTTGTGCATGAGTTCGTGGGGAAATATTATGCTGCCTATAACCTTTCTGTTAAGTGCACATAAATTTGAAAATGTGTCACCATTCTCGTTCGTTTCTTCCGGTCATGCTCGGTGTCGTCCATTCCAACTTTTGCGTTTAGGTCTCCCATCAGGATGGTTAGGTCGTTTCCTGATCATTTCGCTATGATCGATTGCAGTCTCATAAAACTGATCTTCATCGTCATCATTACTATCATTGGTAGGTGCATAACATTCTATAACATTCATTATGATTTCCTTCTTTTTTTGAAGGATGCTTTGATGATCCTGGATCCATGAGATTTTTATCCTATAAGTGGTTTACGTGATTCTTTGGACAGCATCAGTGTAACTCCTCGTGTGTACAAAGCATTTTCTTCTTCATAACCAGAGAACAACAGCAATTTTCCGAATTTAACCTTTTTTATCAAGCTCTAGGGTTTCACATATTCGGAGCACTGTCAATTTGTGTCTCCTCCTTTCCACAGCTGTTTGACTGGTCCTTCCGGCCTCTCGCATTGTCCGGACATTCGATGTACCCAAGTTAATTGGTGCCCTATTTTTCAGGAGGGGCGTCAGACGCGTGACTTCTGAAGAATCTCGGCTTCACCATGAGGCATCATAATTTTCTCAAAAGGAGATCTTTTATCTCCCATCGCATAGTTTAAATGGTTTAAATGACTTTTTCTGCAAAGTGTTTTTTTTCCAAGTTTGTTATCTACGGGATTGGGTTTTCGACCTCATGCCCAACCCTCCTACTCTACCCAAGATTGCGACCGACAGTACCCTAGAAGGCTACAGGCGACCTATGCTCTCAACAGAAATAACAGGCTTAAGCAACTAAAGTACTTCAAAATATTGTCCAAACACTGATTTTAAAAATAAGACACCAGTATTAGTAGTGATAACATACTGCGAGTTTCTCAAAAAATGAATTGTGCTACGAAATCCGTTGTTTATTTTAATTCATTGTAAATGTTGAATGTTACACATTAAAAGTGTAGGTTGTTAACTGAATGGTTGAAAATGAACATTGCAATAGACACCATTTGCCAATAAAATATGTTTCTTTTCAGACATCAAATAGTCAGTTTGTTAGCTACGTGATAATTTCTAAGAAATACATCAATGAAAGATAAATTATCCCATAAAGCAGTTGAGTGTGAAAATAACAGTTAGTATTATTCATGTTGCATGTCGAAACAATAAAGTTAAACACTGTAAAGGAGAATCATTTATCTATATAGTTGTTTTAAATGTTGTTATGACATAACGAAAATCGTTGTTTAAACGAACTGTTCTTACGTATATAAATGTTTGAATTTTTCTGTTCCTGATACAAAAGACTGTGTTTTATTAGTCTCCAAATGTACAGCTGTATTTTAACTGGATTTTCTTGATATTTACTGTTAATTAGAAGTTTTAGTAAGCAACTCAAACGAATTCAAATCCATTCACATAACTTAATGTCCGTTGAATATGTCAGTAGCTTTTTAGACTTAGTTACTCAGAAGATAACATAATAAAATTTAAAGGTAAAGATGCTTAGTTAGATTTTCACTGTGAAAGTCAACACTGGAATTTAAATTGATTGAGATAACTGGTCTCTAACAGTACAAAATGTGCGTCCTGGATTTCAGCGGTAGTCGCAATACAACGTCAGTAAAACATAATTTTCGAGTCGCAATTGATTGATCACTGGGTAGTGATCAATGTCATGCGTGTCTAGTCCTTATTATCAGTGCAGATCGAATGCTATCGATCATGTTGCAATGTGGCCACCAGTCTAGGTGACTCGACACTGCGGGCACTATATATTGAGATTTAGATGGTGGTTGGAGGTAGTCAACAAGAAACCCTGGACCCGGGTTTTGTGCTAGCATTCGAACTGCACTAATAATAAGGACTAGACACGCATGACATTGATCACCACTCAGTGATTAATCAATTGTGATTACATCTCAGTTCTACCGGAGGTTAGTCGCGGCTCGGATAGCTCAGTGTTAACGTCTCTGACTGTGAAGCTGGGTGACACGAAATCGAATCCGTCAGGGAGCACCAGTTCCCTCATGATTACAGGTACACCTTGCTGACGAGTGCCAAGTAGCACGAAAACCATGTCCAAGGTTTTTTTTGACTACCTCCAACCACCATCTAATAATTTTTGAATGTTTAGCATTTTCCAAAATACTGTAAAGGTTTATTCATGTTATGTTCATATGATTTTGGGATGGTGAGGAAGAATTGCAGCTCAGATGAATGATTTGGGCGGAATTTTGTTCTTTGAGCTAAACGGTTTGGTCATGAAGCTTTCATTGTTTTTCTGAACAATATCAGCACAAACTTTAGAGAAAAATGAATTAATCAAATTTCTCGACTTATAACTCTCAGCTTGTCCTGTCAACCATGATAATGATTAGTTATTATTGAATTTTAACCCGTCATTATCTGCCTCTTTATTTTGATTTGATTCTTGGTCCTATATATAAACCTATGATTTTCCTGACTGGTTGATAGATTTAGTGTGTTTGTCGGTTATTAATTGACCCATATTATTAGCTTCTAAAAATTCCCTGATGTTCTTAGTGTTCTCTCTATTCAGGATTTAAACATATTCCCAGTCGAATGTGTGTCCACAATCGTCCACATGCCTTGATATAAACGTGATAAAAGTTTTAATAATAAAATGTCTTTTAATTCTCATCCTTAGTTAGTTAGTTATTCAAATATGCTTCAGAATAATTCAAAACGAATCTAGCAAAGTAACTAATAAACTTTTAATATAAATTATCTAATGAAATTTTATTTACTTTCAATGTTAGAGGGGAACTATATATGTAACTTGATTATTAGTTCATTGTTCTCGCATTCATGAGATAAGACTTTAGGTTCCGTATGCTTCGTCAATTCATTGAAATACAGTTAGAACTTATATAAATTAGAATCTATCCTGTCATTTGAATATCATTGAATAGATTATTATTAACATATGGTTCAATTTAAGGCTAGTTTTACTTAGTTGGACTTCATATTTCTAACCTATAATCAATTTAAAGTAAATCTATAGGAATTAATGTACTAATACATAGTTTCTTTTTTATTTACTTTTGATATTAAATAAATCTATGTATGTAAGTTATTTCCTTCCATTTGATTCATAATGTATATATCCTTGTGTTTGTTTATTAGTAAATTTTAGTTATTCAGTAGGATGATTAAATTAGTATATGTCATTTCGAGTCATTCAACTTCTTATTCTTAATCCATTGATAAATTTAACATACTAGTCTATACAGATTAATAAATTATTATTTATTTTTAAATGATAGATAGTTATGTCATTGTATTTTTCAAGACGTTCTTAAGGAGAAGTGAACTTACTGAAGTGAAATAAAAACATTTCATCCACAAATGATTGATCACTGAGTGGTGATCAATGTCATGTGTGTTAGGTTCTTCTTGGCACAGATAGAATGTTATCAACTAAGTTATAGTGTGGCCACTCATCTAGGTGACTCGACATTGCGTGCACTATGTTGAGATGAGATGGTGGTTGGAGGTAGTCAACAGGAAATCCTGGACCCGGATTTCGTGCTATTTGACACTCATCATCAAGATATGCTTGTAATCTTGGTAGAACTGGTGATCCCTGATGGATGACATGGGATCGAATCCGTTAGAGAGCACCAGTTCCATCAAGATTACAGGTATACCTTGATGACGAGTGCCAAATAGCATGAAACCCGGGTCCAGGGTTTCCTATTGACTACCTCCAACCATCGTCTTAAAAATATTTTGTATCCGATGAAAATGTCAATGTTTTATGAGTGTATACTGCTAACAATAATTCATGTAATGATTACCATATAATGAAGGTCATTTTGAGCTTTCGTTAATAGTTATATGATGAGATTTTAATAAATTTTCATTCTATTAAGTTTATATTTTTAATTGGCTATTCGAAAAAAGGTTCATTTTAGCGAAATAATTGATTCTTGCTACTTTATGAAGTTGTTTTCTTTTAAATTGTACATTATTTGTAGTACAAAACTATTTTCATGACAAGCCTAATGGTATTATTCTTTTCTCTGTGAACGGATTTTATTGGTCAGAATTAAAAAGGTAGAAAGTCGGAGGGATTTTTGTGTTATCTGATTATGTTATAAGTTCTGTGTCAAACTAGTATTTTCAGTTGCCTATACAATTTGGGAAAAAGCGTTCTGTATGGAGCGATATACATGTTTGTTAACATAATTAACGGAAACTAGAAATGTTGAATGTTATTTATCGTGATATTATTATATCACAATATTCTTTAATATGTATTACGTTATTTCTTTTAAGTAAATATTTTATTTGTGGGTGAAACACATGGATTAGTGAGACTATAATTTATGGACGAATTAATCATGTATAAAATAACAGGTTTCGGATTTTGGGGCGAAACGTACTCATCCATTTAGCTAAATAGAATTTCGGCACTATAGCGGATGTCAGTTTGTGATGAAAGCCCTAAATCTAATTCCTAACCCTAACCATCA